GTGTGTGGGCCTCGGGCGGCCCCCCTGCGCCCCGCCGTGCCCACCCGGGGCTGGGGCTGCCCGGGCTCCCTGGCCCAGGACCGGTGGCACCACCGCCGTGGCTCCAAGCCCGCTCCCGTTATCAGGGAGCCCAGCCTTGACCCCGCGACGCTGCCTGTGCTCCTGTCTGGGGTGGCAGGGCCATGGGCCACGGGTGCCCCTGTCACCCCCTTGGTCGGGCGCTGGGTTTGCTCAGGCTTTAGGGTCTAATCCTGGCCCTCTTTCTGCTTCCTTGCAGGCTGTGACCCCCTGCTCCCCTGCTGTCAACTATGATCCAGTAAGTGAGCCCCCCGCGAGCCGTGGGTGACAGGCAGGGCTCTGGGGATGCTGGGTGGGACGGGACACCCTGTTCTGCACTGGGCGTGGGGCTTTCTCTGTCTGGGGGCTTCAGGGTGTGAGTCCCCTGCCCCCAAAGCCACAAGGGTTGTGTGCTGGGGGTAATGGCACCCCCCCCCATTTCAGTGCTATGCCCCCCAGCATTGCTGGCTGCAGGGCATCCCATGTCTGAGCAGCACGAATTGGGGCAGCCCAGCCATCATGGGACTCCTGGAGCTGGCGCTTTCAGGGAAGAGGGGCTTGCGGGGTTGCTGGGAGGGACAGGCAGATGGGACGTGACCAGCCCCAGGCTCTGGTGTCCCCTGGCGCCGAGGGCCTCCCCTCTCTGGACAGAGCCAGGGCGGTTTCTTGCACACCCGGAGATGGCTCTACCAGATGTGCCTTTGGCTCGGGGCGCCCAAGGCCGTGCGTTTGCAGCCCTTGTTATTGTCACCCCCTTCTTTTGTCCCTCCTGGGAACCTTTAACGAGCAGCCAGGGCCAGGGAGACGAACAGCCCTTCTCACCCTGTCCTCTCCGGACAATGGTAAAACAGCTGGGTGCCCCATCTGCATTCACCCCATCCTAGGGAGGATGTGCAGCCATGCTCCCTCGCCACGCTGCTCCGGGCCACCGCAGGGCTCCGGGGATGGCAGGGAACCAGGATGGCTCCCGGAGCAAAACCATGCCTGGGGCAGAGGTTTGGGAAGCGTGGCATGGCGGTGCCCACCAGGCAGCATCTTGCCGGCAGAGCAGCCCCCCTGCCCCGTCCCCAGCCCGGCCGTGCCCAGAGGAGGCCCTGGCAGGGTTTCAGCTCTGGGCTTGGCAGCCTGGCAGTGCCGGGGTGGCCGTGCCCCATGCGGGGCCCTGGGCTGGGCACCCCGTAGCCAGGCTGGAGTCTCACCTGAAAAGTGGGTTTAGGGGATGGACCCCTGTGAGCTCATGAGGGCAGCACATGAGCCCAAGCGAGCAAGGGAACGGGGTGGGAGCAGAGCATGCTGCCTGTCCTGGGGCCCCGCAGTGCTTATCTGCCCCGGGTTTAATCTCTGCCTGCACCCCCCCGCCCCTGCCAGCCTCCTCGGGCACTTATCACCAGCAAAAATGTGTTGGCTTCGCGCTGGGACCGTTACTGTGGCTTTGGGAGGAAATCGAAAGGGGTTTGCCCTGTCCCGTGGCTGGAAATCCCCGGCCCCGCTGCCAGCACTGCAGCAGCCTGGTCTTGGGGTGCCCTCCGTCCCCCTGGTCCCAAGACCCCCATAAGCCACCCAGCTGGTGCCACCTCCAGGTACCCCCACCAGCTGTTCCCAGGCTCCCTATAGTTGGGGTCCAGATGCTCTCCCCGACCCCAGGAAGTTAATTCCTGTCCCCAGCCCCATTTCAAAGCTTTCCACAGACTCCAGTGGCGTGTCACCAAATTTGCCTCTTTTTTGAGCCTCTTGGACCCCTGCTCTGCTCCCGCTGATGTCCTTCACCAGCCCCACAGGGCTGGGTTTATTTCAGGGCTCTGGGCCTGCCGGTGGCCCGCAGCCAGGCTGGGTGTGGGACCGTGCCGGGCTCGCCCCGTTGTTTACCTCCTGCCTGTGGGGTCTGACCCTGGAGGATCCAGATGGGATCCTGAAGGTGTGGGGAGCAGCGGGTACCCACTGTGGAGCGGGCTCAGGGGTTGGGCGGGGGCCCCCCGTCC